GGTGGGCCGGGCCGGTTTGTTTACCTGCTGCGTCTGCAGGTTCGGCCGATCGCGGCTCCCACTGGCCACGGTTCGCCACTCTAGGCCAGTGGGGGTGGCGGGAAGCGGAGGCCAGCACATCCCTCGGCCCGCGCCACTTCCCGCAGCTGCCATTGGCCTGGAGCGGAGAACCGCAGCCCATGGGAGCCGCGATGGGCCAAACCTGCGGATGTGGCAGGTAAACAAACCCGCCTGGCCCACCAGGGTGCTTACCCTGGGGAGCCGCGTGCCAAAGGTTGCTGATCCCTGGTCTACAATGTAGCATGAAGGTATAAGTGGGATGCCCCCTGAAAGTCTGTGTATCATGTCATCTTGGAAATCATTCAGTTGTTGCAGAGATCAGAGACATTCACTCTGTTGTATTAGTCTCACAGACTATGCTATAAAATGCATGTGTACATAATAGCACTCAGATACTGGGATGATGGACAGCAGTATAAAATGCTAACACAGAACATGTATATGTGTGTGTCTGTGATTGTCTTATGCAACACTGATTTTGGAGAGATGTCCACCAGAGACTGCTCAGTGTATTATTATGGGATGACTATTTGGAATTCATAATCATAGATGCATGGTTTTATAAAGGGGCTGGTCAAAAGTAATACAGAAGTAAGATTTACAGTGATATTTAATATGCTGTTTCACTTGTACTATCAAGCTGTATGTGTTTACATTTTGTTTTTATAGTTCTCACCAACTGATGCACAGTATGATCATTTGGCAGTAGGTGGGGAGGGGGATTAGAATCATGAAACAACTCAAATGGTGTAAATTATCTGGCAGGTTTTAGTTAATGAAAAATGACTGTAAATGGTGGTCTAACTTGTACAGACCTAGCATTCAGATGGCTCAATTCTTCACTACCCTGCATCTTGTGTAATTAGTTATACTTCCAGAAAGTGCGTGTAAAATACACCAATCTGATATGGTATCATTGTACATCCACTTTGCACAGATGTACATGACTACGGAACGTGCAAGGCTGTAGGAGATTGGGCCCAGAGAATGTGCAAAACAAGTGTAGCTTACATGTGTAGGAAGCATAGCAGAATAATTAATTAACTGAAGGGAGGAAGTTAAAGCAGGCCTCTTAGCTGATTTTCCTTTTACACCTGCTCAGTGTATAAGTTACACTTGTTTTGCACATTGATTACCAAGCTGATGTAACTTACACTACCACATCAATTTTAAGAGTAACTTTTACCACAATTTGTCACCTACTGAATTTGTCCCTAAAGGAGCTGAAGCTGTTAACATAGTGCTTAATGTGTGCCAGGGTTGAGCCCCAGCACCTCTGGGCTTGCCACATCAGGTATGAAAGTAAAAAAAAATTGCTTGAGACCCGGCACTTCTTTCATTAAAAACTAAGAAACCAGAGGTTTAAATCTCCTCTTACACTACTGTAATTAGGAGTAGCTTAACTGAAATCAGTGGAGTTACACCAATGTAAAAGAAAATCAGCCCCTCAGCCCCTCTCCCCCCCGGTC